TAAAGAAATTCAGAAAGTCTGGAGTAAGCTGTCAATATTTGCAGTGTTTGAACAACTGAAGTTATAACTGATGACATTGTACTGTTTTTATCTAACATCATCAGTCAAAGTACTGCCAGAATGCTGATAAACATAGGAAAACCTGATGGGAATATTCCTAAGCATCGTGATGAGTGTTTTTCTGTGAAGATAAATATACGTAAAACACTAAAAGCAATGACAAAACTCTAGGAGCTTTTCATAAAGCCTGTAAAATTTCTATAATATTTGTTTATAAGGTACTATTTATTCATATTGACATAGGAAAAGCCAAGTATTACTTCTGGTTTGACAATTCTTCCTGTGGAATTCACCAAAAAAATCTAATTATTTTTAGTACTTTCTTTTTAAGTGAAAGGCAAAGTCTTTGTGACTTTTTTTCCAGGGCTCCTCTGGAAAATCTCAAATGTATTTTTAAGTATAAAAGATATACTGAAAGTATAATTTTTTCTGTACTTCAGAACTCATTATGGCACAGTAAAAGTAAGAAAGAAAAGTGTCAAGAGAGTATGTGGATACTAAGATAAATTCAGAGTGTCAGAGAAATACTAAAGTAATATTCAAGTAAACATTTTAAACAACAAAATGTTTAAAAATAAGCATAAATGGTAATGTGATTGTAAAAAGCCTTAGCTCTTTATAAGTGAAGAATCTTTGTTCTTTTCATTTTTCTTTTTTCTTAAATAAGAATGTAATAAGTGGATACCGTAGAAATTTTTTCTTGTATATACAGAAACTTGCTATATAAGCAGGTTACACAGGTTTTTGAAAAGCCTTTCATATAATAGGCAAAGGAAAGAATCAAGAAACCAAGCCAGTTAATATTGGACAAATTTTACTATCATTTTGGGCCAATTTCATTATCTTGTCAGACTCAAGAACTAAAAACCAAGGCAAGAAATTTTATTTCCAAACTTTACCATGCATTTTATTTTTTCACATCCCAGAAATTCTCTTGGGAGCCATGAAAACAAAACAGTTTTCCTTTAATCAAGATATTATTTCTGTTAACATCCTAATGCATTCATCATTGCTATGGTTAAATGAATCAATAAGTATTTTTAAATTTCTCAGTTTCAACCTCCAATATAGTAGAAATTGATAGCTATAATCCACATACCTAAAAGTTTTTGGAACTCTCTGGTAGTTTTCAAGATTGTAGAGGGGTTCTGAAATGAGCAGAAAACTGAAAACTACTTGGGGAAGAGGGGTTACGCTATTACTGTGTATACCATTATCCACTACTACCCTACTGTGAAATACAGTGCTACTATAAAACCCCTACTATAGAACAAATCTACATTCTCTTTAAAACACAATGTATACAGTAGTTTTTTTCAGTTCCTGTTATTCTTAGAATTGTCTCAACCATTTCTCCTAACAATGATGTTTGATCAAGGTAACTTCTATTTCACAGAGAAAACTGGAAGTAGAGAAGTATTATCTTTCTTGCACATTTCAGCAAACTAGTAATTTTATATTGCAATTATATCTATATATATCTACACATACATATATTTTTAAACAGAGAAACTACATACACATTTATGACTCAAAGACAAGAAGTTTCCATAAGATATAAGCAAAACTACATAAATTTAAAATTATGCCTGTTAGGCATCAAGTTTGCAGTATTTCTAGCTGGAATTCCTAGTGGATACTAAATGAGTATTCATTATATAATTCAATTTAATGTCATTCTAAAGTTTTACGTTATCTAAAGATTTTGGGAAATATATTCAAGCTAAAGTACTTTTTTAAAAAAAACATAATTGCTGTTGCAATAAAGTTTTCAGAATGATTTTATTTAGCTGAATATAAATTTATATTTCTCATTATTTTAAATACTATATATAGCATTAATCTACTTGATGAGTATACCTAAATAAATTTAAGAGAAACATACCCAAATAGAATAAATTGTTGTTTACATTATACCTAATACTGATGAACCAGAAGGTATAGTTTTATATTACATAAAAATTGCTACATTAGTCTTATTTACCAAAGATTTACTGTATTTACTAGCTTCAGATTTTCAAAACAAATTTGGAGTTTCTGTAAGAATAACTTTCTAAATGTTATACATTTAAAGTATCACAACTTCTGTTTCCTAATCTCCTAGGAATTTTACAAATATTTTATTTGTAAAAGAATTAAATAAGAGTTCTCTTTAGATCAATCAGAAGAGCGTTGCTTTAGGGAACTTTTAGTCAAATTTATTACACTTTGGGGATAGGAAAATATTGTGCATATTCAAGAAGAGATAAAGGTCTTCCTAAATTATAAGCATCTATACACATGACGTACAAACAGCTAATAAATTCAGAGCTCAACCTTAGTAACAGATCAAGGGCAAACTCATACACAAAAATCACCAGTTCATATGTCAAAGTTATTCTCTTTTCTGTGGACAAAAAAATCTTAATTTGAGCTTAAAATAGACGAATAGACAAGCAATAAAAACAAAGTACTATAAAACTAGATTCCCTGTTATATGTCACCCAGCAGAGAGTAAATCCCTGTAACCCATTAATCCATTTACAGTGATCACAAGAGTTAGACATAGAACCAAATTCCAAATCACTGCTGTCATGCGTAGGGCATAATTTATCAATTGTAAGCATTTCAATGATAGAACAAAACAAAACTATTAAAAATACAGGGAAAAACAGAGGCTCAGCAAAGTTCATGTTTTATTGCCACTGGGGATTTACCTGTGGGAGCCCAGAAAAGACAAGCCTATATTCAAGCTGCCAGGAGATATAATCGCTTTTCTGCAAATGGCGCTGTTGTGCCCTCGGAGGACATTTTGGGCATCAGCAACTGTAAGATAATTTTTTTTAAAGGACATAGCAGTAACTCATACAAATACAAAGCAAATGAGCTACAAATTCCATTTAATTCATTTGTTATAGAAAAGACCTGAAAATGAATATAACCAGCTCAAAGGAGAATTCAAATGACAGAATGTGTACGTACAGGCTATAAGGAAAATTAAAGTGAAATAGATTCCTATACAGAGAAATAGCTAATTGCACTGCAGTAGACATAATTAATTTGCATCTTCATAGGTGACAATAATGCATGATGTGTACTTCTCTACAACTTAAAGAACTGAAAGAAAACAGGAACAAGAGTAGAAATTATGTGAATAGGTTGAACAATTTGGAAACTCATTTTTTGCCATTATAAGACTTGACAATTTTTCTGAATCGAAATGTGAGTCCAAAATTTTCTTTTTAAATTGATGCAAGAAGCTAAATACTGTGAGAGAAAATCAAAAGTTGCTCTTTAGCCCTGGTTCTAAGTTTCCTACCATTATTCTATATAGTAGAAGGGAGACCAAGTAACAGCACCTATCTGCATATCAAACACACAGAAATCCCAATGACTAATACTTTCCCAGTGTTGCTATCAGGTGGCTCCTTTAGAATGTATTCCCTCTAGGGTATTTGAAAAAATGTTCCACATCACTGGTCATTCGAGAGATGCAGATGAAAACAACACTGAGATTCCACCTCACCCCACAAAGACTGGCTGCTATCAAGAAATCACACAATAACAAATGTTGGCGGGGTTGTGGGGAGGACAGAACCCTTCTCCATTGTTGGTGGGAGTGCAGACTGGTGCAACCACTATGGAAATCAATATGGAGATACCTCAAAGAGCTTGGACTGGAGGTTCCATTTGACCCAGCCATCCTTCTGCTGGGTATCTTTCCAAGAGAACTAAAAGAATCATATCACAGAGAAGTATGTGCACCCATGTTTATAGTGGCACAGTTTGTAATAGCTAAATCTTGGAAACAGCCCATTTGCCCATCCATTGGAAACTGGATAAAGAAGATGTGGTTTTTCTATAAAACGGAATATTACTCAGCCATAAAGAATGAGAAAATAGATTCATTCATAGGAAAATGGATACATATTGAAGATATACTCCTAAGTGAAATAAATAAGTCACACATGTGTAAATACCGAATAGTTTCCCTGGTGTGAATAATCTGCAACAATGCATAAGATTCTAATAAGATTACTGACATTTAGAAATGGGAAGAAAGGAGCTAAAGGTGTAGGGAAGGTGGGATGGGTAGGGGAAGAGTAAAAAGGGAAAAGAAAAAATGTGAGAGAATGAAAAGATGAAAATAAAGTGTTTGTAGATGGGGAGGGGAGGAGGGGGTGAAGGGAGGGCAGAGGTAAGGGGGAAAAATGAGAATCAAGACTTGTCATGTAAAAGTACAAGATCCCAACAATGAATGTAACTGTACTGTATCCCTAAAATGTACCAATAAACTCAATTAAAGCTGAAAAAAAAAGAATGTATTCCCTCTAAGAATTAGCCTCACCCAAACCTCTCTTTTCTCTCTATTAATACCACATTCGCAAATAGTTATTCCCAAAATTGCCCCCAGGGAGCTTATAATTGGCAATACTGAATAAAGTGAACCAAATCATCATTTTGACAGATTATAATCTGAAAGGGGGCAAAAGCAGGTCAGATAATTTTAAACTTTTAAGAAAGAAGTTTTTCATGAAACCCACCGTGGAAAGTTTCCTCCACTGATTTGAGCCAAATGAGATATTTTTGTGTGGCAAACTGAAAAATCAAGGTAGGATTCCTTCTGACATATAAAACCTCATTTCACATGTATTCCTAAAACCTCTCACTAGGATTTCTACAAAATTAGTAACTCTTAGGGCTCATGAGAGTCTAGACCGGCATGAGTTTGGAACACTACATCGATCCCAGGTACTTTCAGTACCATCACAGCCCAAGGGTCCAAATAGGAATCATCACTGCTCCTGAGAAAAAGCATCCATGAGAAACACACATAATGGTCTCCGTGGAAACAACCTTTTTAGTCAATTCTCTTTTCCATGATATAGAAGCAAAAAGAAAATTCATTTGATGCCATCTGTTGCATGGTCTTGACTAACCATGTAATTTGTGTATTTTAGGTTCACCCAGGTGACAACTCTACCAGAACCTCTATCCAGACAGACCTCTACATACAAGCTGTCATTTTTGACCACATCTCCAGAAGGAAGACTTAAGCATCAACATCCTAGATGGCTTCCTTATTGCTTGCTAATTTTAGCCAAATTCTGTAGTTAGCAGCAAATTAGAACCATAAGTGAGTCCTATAGCTGGAAGGCAAATTAAAATAATAAAAGTTAATAGAGAAATTAGAAATAAAATGTTAAATATTTTTATTATATAGCTAGCCTACCTCTTGATTTGATTTGAGGTTTTTCTTTCCTTTTTTTTTTTTTTTCTTAAATCCTGGACACTGAGGCTGATTGCAACAGTTCATGGAAGAGAATCTTGTTGCCACTTCAAAGATACACTAATGAGTGACATATTTTGTAGCTCAGATTTTCCAAAACAGAAATGTTCCAGGTCCCAGTGTTGCCAAATCTAGTGGACCCAACATTATGCCATGTGGCAGTGCTGGCAGTGTTGAATCCTGAAATCACTGAATATTGATAAGGGGCCCCAAATGGGAAGACAGGCATGGGAAACACTATATGAATACAAAGTTTTCAATAAATACTAAATGAACAAGCAAAATCTGAAATATTCTATGAATTGATCAAAGAAAAGCTTTGATGCATTTGTGGCTCTGGCAACATGAATCTCGTGACAGTGAAGCTGAAGAGATGAAATCTAAGAGAAACCAGAAGGTTTTAGAGAAGTAAGAGAAATGAACATGTTTCCCAATGTGCCCTGCAGGTGGCTTTGTACAGAGAATATTTTAGAGTCCACTTGTTATTTAAAATTAATATTTTGCTGTTCTAGTCTTTTGTATTCAATTCTCTTCCTTTTCTTAACAATCTACTGCTGAGGTGATTTAGTGGGGCCAAGTAAGGTCTACTGTAAGTGTGGCACTCTGCACTGTGTGTGTGTGTGAGAGTTTCAAGTATAGGGGGTATGGGAGAGTCCAGGGCAGAATTGATGAGAAGGATATGTTCCTGGGGAGCTGATGGTATAATCACGAAGTGCCAGGTTTCAGAGTGATATGAAATTGGGTGCATTGTGCTGGTGTGATTGCATAGTTTTCAATATATACAATATACACCACAGATACGGAATCTGTGTATATGTGCATCTTAGTTACTTTTTCTCAAAGCTGAGACAAAATACCTGATACCCAAAGTTGAAGGAGGAAAGGTTTAATGTAGCTCACTGTGGAGGTTTCAGTTTATGTTGGCTGGCTCTAAGGAAAGGTGGCATGGCAGAGGAGAAACAGTTCATGACAGGCAGAAGGCAGAATGGTATGAGGGAGCAATAGTGAAGTATTAAAGCTGCAAAGACAAGTATATAAGCAGCAAGCAGCAGAATATTGAAGCGGCAAGCAGTAAGAGCAGCCCTCTTTCTGTTCCTTATATTTTATCCAGAGTGGGTACCCTTAATCCCAATAGATCCAGCCACCTTCACAAAGCTCCACCCATGACTGCATGAGGCGTTGCAGTGACATCTAGAAACAGGCCAAACAATGTGCAAATGCATACTCATGGGTATCCATATACCCACTGAGAGAACAAGGAGCTGCAATAGCCTGATATGAATGAGCACACCTAGTAGCCAGATCTTAGTTTCTCAGCACCATTTCCCATGAAAAAAAATCAGGGATCCTTGGGAAAATGATTCAAGGTGGAGGCAAAGAAAATACAAGAGTTTGGAGAAGACTTTGCCAGAAGGCTAAGAGGTTAGAAGGATATGTATCAAAAAGATACAGAACCCAGCTTGGAGAAGTTTCCACTAGCCAAATCTGGGATAGTTTAGGAATCAAAATAAATACTGATAATGTCAGGCATCAAATAAGTAACTATGAGTCCATACTGATCCACAGATGTGATTGGAAGTTAGATGAGAAGATACTTACATAGTACTTCTGCACATGCTACTTAATTATACCCGGGATGATGGAAATGGTGGAAGACATCACTTTCCATAATTGAATACCATTAGTAATGTGGCAAACTGATTTTGTGCTCTACCAAGTAAAATTTATGTCTGAATCAGTCAGTCAAATATCACATGATAAATTGGAATAGCAAGGCTTAACTGATGCAACTGAGGATTGTGGCATCCCTTTCATAACAGCCTGCCAAAGTTGCATAACTTCCGTCTAACCAAGAGAAAACTCAGACAAATCTGAGTCCAGGGACATCATGCAAAATAACTGGTGTGTAATCTTCAGAAGTGTCAGATTATGAACACAGAAGAAAGATAAAGGAATTGGCCCAGACCAAAGGGGACCATGGAGACATGACAACCAAATAGGAACCATCATTCCGAGTTGGATTCTGATGCTAGAAAGGTAACGTGGGGACAAGTGGTGGAAATTGAATGTTTTCTGAAGAATAGATAGTAGTTAAATGAAAATGCTTATTTTTAATTTTGAAGATTATTTTGTGGTTATATAACACAATTTGCTTAATGGAAATTGCACTAAAGTATTTGTGAGTCAAGGGGCATCATGTCAGCTATTTACAAATATATCAGGAGGAAAGGTCTTTGTGTTATGTCTGCAGTTCTTTGTAAGTGTGAGGTTGTTTTGCAATAAAATAAATATCTGTTTATTATATACATTAACTTAAACTCCTAGCTTCTTATATTGTCAGCACAATGTGTAAATCTTATTATTCTATTCATAGATTTGGCTAAATTTGAACAGTTGCTTTATTGAGTTCTTCAATAATTTAATGGATTAAAAATTTTTAAATATTTTAAATTTCATTCATCACTTCTATTATATTCCATTTTCTAAGGATTTCAAATTTTTAACAGATAAGATTTCCCACACAATTAGATAAACATTTTCAATTTTATAAATGAAACATAAATATGACTCATAGTTTTTCTAAATGTTCTAATATGGTTTTTAAGTTGATGAAATTTCAGTTTTTCAATTGGATCCGAATTAATTGGTCAAATATCACATTTTAAGTAGAAATCATATAGATTATCAGATATTCTATCATGCCAGCTCCTTGTAAATACAATTTTAGAATGTTTTAATTATATATACTTAAAATATTTTCAATACTTAGTATATTTCCATCTAATTTCTATATTTAAATCCAAGATTAAAAAAATAAATAAATTATATCACCAGTAAACTTTACATCATAGTCTGAACTGAACATAATCAGAGTAAATACTGACTGGAGTTGCAAGTTTGATTAGAGGAGATAATCCTCAACCTGGGCTGCCATAACAAAATACTACACTTTGACTGGCTTCCACAACAGGAATTTCTCATAGTTCTATAGGATAGAGTTTTATCAAGGTGTAGACAGACTTTGTTTCTCATAAGATCTCTCTAGCAGGTGACCAACTCTCTCTGCCTCTCTCTCTCTTTCTCTCTCTCCAGATTTTTCATTTTATAAGACACAACCCAACTGGATTAGTGCTCATCATAATAAAGACTTCATTACTTCTTTAAAGGTCTTTTCTTCAACACATGAAAACTTGGTTTCCACATATTAATTTTGGATGGACACAATTCATCCAGTAACACACCATGTATACTGCAAACCTCCAGGACATTTGTGTATGATTATACCCTCTCAGTCAATCCTAAGCCAAGTGTAGGCCTCAAAGTACCCTAACATTTTGCCTTTAAAGTTGGAATTGTCTTGCTGTCTATGTACCCTGGATTCAAGTTTTATATTAGCTAGTTTTCTCTTCTAATTTGAATTTGAAGCATCCACTCTGGGTGACTATTAATGAATCTATATATAATCTCATTCTATTTGTGATTTGCTTTCATATTCTTACTATCTTTAGGTCCACAAATCTTATAAACAATTCAGTGACATCTGATTGTATTGAACATATCCCTCAAGTACTACCTTGCCCCATTGTCGAAGTTCTAAGGTCACACAAATGGAGCTACTGGGGCTTGGAAATCCCCTTCATGAAGGCCAATTAAGGTGACTTCCACCCAGCACAAAGGAAAGACTGACCAGAAATCAGTTATGCATGAGTCCAGGGTAAATTAAAAGAGTAGTTTTAACTGAAGCTAGTGGTTAAATGCAGAGCCCAGGAAAGGGGATATGTGAATATATGTGAGAATTTGCAAAAAGACCACTGGGCCAAAGAGACAAGACCCAAGACCAAACTGGCCAACTAAAGGGAAATGAAACAAGAAACCGGGCAGTGCCACAGGAGTAAAGAGCATTAAGACCTAGACTATTTGGCAAGCTAAAGTTGATAATTGGCCAAAATAGCTTTATCTCTATAGACTTCGGCTCCTGGAGATCCCTTCAAAATCCAAAACATCTATGATTTCTCCTTGCTGTTTCTTCAATTTATTTATAGACTCCTCGGAAGAGAATAGTCTTCGAAGTTAACAGTAATTTTCTCCAAGGTATAATTTGGAGATACTACTCAGGATTTTGGATAAATGTTACAGAAATCCAATTTGAAATTTTATCATGAAAATATGGATGTCTCCCAGAACTAAAAGAAAGAACTAAATCTAAATCCAGGGATAATATAATAACTAATTTTTAAAAATCTGAACACTTAAGAACTCTGTCACTACCTAATTAATAAGTTCCTTTTATTTTCTCTTTTTTACAAAACAGCCTCTGTTTCTGAAGAACTTATGTCAGAAAATTTGGTTCCAGCGGTCTTACAATCTAATATCCCTCCCTCCCCCTTCATCCTTTGTTTTTCCCAGAATTCCAGAGAAGAGTCATTTGCTCCATTTCAATCAGGAGCCTATCTCCGCTAAAATCTAAAAAACAAAATGGTGAGGCTCTGCAGAATTATATTTTGCACAGTTACAGCAACTAGGGGAACCTTGGGGATGAGTGAGAATTTTCAGAGAAGTAGGTAAATCTGTAACACAACAATATATCCAGTTCAGTGGAAGCAGGAGGTAGCATAGGGAGGAGTGAAAGGAGGGTAACAGGGCAGCTCAGGTGCTGGGCCGCTGAAGCAGCCATTCATTCTTTTTCACTGATTGTGACAAAAGAAGGGGTGGCAGTGTGACTGTATGAGGCTTCTCATACTGTGTTTCTTGTTTTACCATACAACTTACTCAGATAAGCAAGTGTGCAGTTAAAATCTAACATATGACTGGCCTCTCAAAATTTCCAGACCTTCTACAGTTGTATGATTTATTTTACACTCAATAAAGTTAAAGGAAATATCAGGTTATTCATATATTGGGGACACATTGTGAGCCAGATATTCTTCCTAGGGCACAATAATAAATAAGTCCTTCCTTCAACAAACTGACTAACTTGGAAGAAAAAGGAATCCTGGGAATCTTGTTTTTGTTTCTGTTGGCTGTTGCTGCAGCTGCTGTGAGTGGATTCCACCCACCTCCCTCCCTTATTACAGCTACAAAAGTGTCATAGATTGAACATGAATGCAGTTTAACTTGTATATTTACTTTGTACTGTCCTTAGTAAACTTTCTATATGAACAATTCCAGTTAATATCCTAAAATTTTATAAATATACATTACACATCATGACAATTTTGTTACTTCCTTTCCCTTAGTCATGTGTTATTTCTATATCTTATTACATTATCCAAGACTTTCTAGAACCTTTATTAAGTCAGGATGATTCTAGCTTATTGGGAATACTGCTAGGGAAGTATTTTTCAAAGTGTGCTCTGTGGAGTGTTAATCTTTTTAAAGTATATCCCCCACCCCCAAAATAAGAATAGAAAAATCAGAAAGTCAAATAAGATTGTAAAATTGCTTAGTATGTTTTTATCCCAGGGACTCACAATGAGACATATTATTGGTGCAGAGAAGTTGAGTTGTACAGATTTGTTTAATCAGGGTTCCCAAATTATTCATGATTGATCGACACTTCCAATTTCACTACAAAATGTCTATTATTGTCTGCATTACCTGATACTGTTTGTTTGCAAGCCTCCCCCACCCCAGAAAAAAATCTCACATATGTAAGCATAAAGACAAATGTGTTAGAAGTCAAACAGTTATAACTGAGACTTAGGAAGGAAAGAATATGAGACATTCTGAAAGCTGATCTGTCAAACAGCACAACCAATAGAGTTGAGCGCTGGCTACTCCACAGACCCTGTCAATCAACCTCTAATTTCAAATTCTCAATAGGACAAACCCTGATTGTGCACAGTAGGCTCAGGTATCCATAATTCCAGGTGACAGTAAAATGGA